CACTCCTAAAAATTTTACTTCAGGCGCAACTGGAATAATTGTACCATTCAAGTATAACTCAGGTTCAGGATGGAGACCTCGCTTCCTACAAAAGTGCACGCACACAGTTTTCTGTTTCGAAAATGTAAATCCCTGTTTGTCTGACCATTCTTGGATCTTATTCAGAGCCATCTGCAGTTGCCTCTCTACATATCTCATGTCTGCTCCTCGACAGCTAATCTGCAGATCATCAACATATAGAGATCCCAAGATGGTGGGAGGAAGTTCTTTTAGTACAGAATTTATTTTTAAACTAAACAGGGTTACACTGAGCACACAGCCTTGAGGCACACCCCTCTTCCTGTTCAAAAACATCCGAAAAAACAGAGCCAATTCCTTACTTGAAAAGTTCTAGTGTTCAAGAAATTTTGAATGAAAATTGGTAGGTTGCCGCGCAAGCCACTCTCGTGAAGATCCCGGAGTATACCGTATCTCCATGCCTTATCATAAGCTTTTTCAATGTCGAAGAATATCGAGACAAGGTGGCTTCTTCTTACAAATGCTTTTCGAATAGATGTCTCTAAGAGGAGCATGTTATCTACAGGTTGTTCTTCCCTTTCGAAAACCACTCTGATAAGGCGATATAATATCATTCTTTTCCAAGAAGTAGACTAGGCGGCTGTTTACCATCTTTTCAAACAGTTTGCAGAGGCAACTCGGTAAGGGCAATTGGCCGATAGTTGGAGGGATTCCTTGGATCTTTCCCTGGCTTAGCAATAGGAATGACAATAGCTCTCCTCCATGCACTGGGAAATGTACGCTCCTTCCACACTCTATTGTAAAGTGTGAGAAGGGCATTCAGTGACTTACAGGACAGATGCTTTAGCATTTCATAATTCACGCCATCAAGACCCGGAGAAGACCTATGTGTCTGCAATAAAGCTCTCCTTAATTCAAGCCATAGTAAAGTCTCTATTGTAAGGCTCAGATTTGGAAGAGTTGAATGCGATGGGATTTATTTCAGAGTGCTGCTTGATAGAAAGAAATGCAGGTGAGTAGTTTCTGCTGGAAGAAACGGCAGCAAATGTCTCACCAATAGTATTCGCAATTTCTTCTATGGAGCTAATCACTCGGCCATCTTTTTCCAAAAAGGAAAGTGAGTGGTCTTTATATATTCCGCATGCTTTTCGAACTCTTTCCCAAACCCGCTTACTAGGCGTAGAGGATGTTATTGACGACACATATGAAATCCAGGAATCCCTCTGGCTCTGCCTTCTTACTTTTCGTGCATTTGCTTTGGCTCTTTTAAAGGCTATGAGGTTTCGCAGAGTAGGATATCTACGAAAAATACCCCATGCTTTTTTCTGTTTTTTCAGTGCTTCATGACAGTCGCGATTCCACCATGGTTTCGAATATTTTAGTATTTTTCCTGATGTTCTAGGAATCGAAAGCATAGCTGCCTGAATAATAGTATTAGTAACAGCTTCCACAGCGTCATCGATATGCACATCTTCTACCATTTCATCTGTCAGCTCTGCAACGGAAGAGAAGAGTTCCCAGTCTGCCCTGTCCAGTATGAATCGAGGGATCTCGACATGGGGTTTGCTCCTCTTCGTGCAAGAGACACAAAAATGGGATAATGATCGCTGTTGTAAAGATCATTTCCCACACTAAAAGTGCAAAAAGGCAACAGAGATGGTGAACAGATGGCAAGGTCGAGAGCGTGGAATGTCCTTTTGAAGGCTCATGGAAGTAAGTATCTTGCCCATTATTTAGGAGACAAAGGCTATGATCTTCGATCATCTGCTCAATTTGTCTTCCTCGGCAATTTGTATCTTTACTACCCCAGAGCGGACTATGGCCGTTAAAATCTCCTATTATGATGAAAAGGCTCAGGCAGCTGCTCTAAAAGACCATTTAAATCTTGCTGATCAATATGCTCATTTGGAGGCAAATACAGAGAAACGACTGTAAACAACAATATCAAAATTTGTTTGAGTAGCGACAACTTGGAGGGATGTCGTCAAAGAAAGCACATTTGAGGGATAATCCAGTGAGGTGAGGAGACCTACACCTCCACTGGCACGCTCACCTGCAATGGTTATCTTTCCTGACGAAAGAAAACCTCCGAAGTTTTGCTTGTTGTTCTGGTTTTAGATTTGTTTCCTGTATTGCGAAGCATACAGGATGATACACATTGATTATAGCTTTGATGTCGAGCAAATTTCGGTGGAAACCGCGACAGTTCCATGATACGAGGGTGGCCATTATGAATGGTTTTTTGTTCTTTCTGTGCTCTTGTTTGGTTTTTCGTGGAAGTAGATGCCTGGGAACTTCCAGACCCTCTTCTACTTCCATACCGTCTGAATCCGCAGATTCAGAAATCATTCCATCAAGAGAGCTATTGCTGGAACTTCTATTTTTATTTGTTTCTTTTGTGTGGTAGTTTTGGGTTTGCTTTGAATTACTATTTCTTTATTTTGTACTGTATGGGTTGGGTTTTCTTTCTTCTTGTTTTGTTTGTAGGGTGGTTGAGTTTTTTTGGTGGCGTCTGCATACTAACTGATGTTTTTGGGTGGCAACTGTAGCGAGATTTTTTAAGAGCACTGGGCGTAAGATGTATTTGGTCGTAGCTGTGTGCTTTGGACTAATCTTCTGGCTTCGGCATATGAGATGTTCCTCGTAACCTTTGCAGTCTGCACTTCTTTTTCCAATTTCCATTTTGGGCAGAGGCGTGAAAATGCTGGGTGCTCACCCTTGCAATTTATACAAAGAGGCGCAGCGGTACAATTTTCAGAATCGTGGCCAATCTGTGAGCATCGGGCGCATGTGAGGCTGCCACGACAAGACGTCTTAGAATGGCCGAAACGCTGGCATTGGAAGCATCGCATAGGGTTGGGAATATAAGGTCTTACAGGACAATTTAAATATCCGGCCTTAATATTCTTAGGCAGATCAGGCGTGTTGAAGGTAAGGATCACGTGTTTCGTATCGATCAACTTACCTTCCTTACGCATCTTGATCCGCCTAGCACCGCAGACATTTTGGTCGGATAGCTCGGAAGCGATCTCTTCTTCAGAAACATACAGAAGGTCGAATTCTGAGATACACACCCACGACAATAATTCAGTGTCTTATGTGCTGTTACAGTGACATTCGCTTGCCCAAGTTTAGTTATCTGAAGTAAAGAAGCAGACTGGGTGGCTGAGATTGTATCAATAAGCAAGTCTCCGGAGCGGAGACGCTTTATATTTCTCGGCTCACCAATACAAGGACTGGATGTATTTGTTAATTACGAAAGGAGACATCTTATGCATTTCGCCAGAAGGACTAGAGATGACTAGGAAACGGGGACTATTGTTATGATTTTTTTTATTTGCATCTGTCCGTAATTTTTTTTGCAGAAGACTTTTCAGAACTAGATTGAGTGACTGGTTTAGTAGTAGACTTTTCAGAACTAGGTTGAATGATTGGTTTATTAGTAGGTGTTTCAGAGCTAGGTTGAGTGACTGGTTTAGTAGTGGACGTTTCAGAACTAGGTTGAGAGACTGGAGTGACTTCGAAGTCTTTGATCAGAAAAATTTGAGAATTAGCCATATTGAAATAAGAAAAGATTCGGGTCCGACGGCCCCGCCCACCACGGAGCCCAACAAGGGAACACAGATTCCTGTGTTAGGGCTAGCCGGACCTATACGCAAACTGAAGCCCCACAGTCGGCTTTCCCGAAAGCAGGTACTCCCGAGAGCTTGACCCCAAGCCACTGACACAAGGACTAGTGACCAGCCGATTGACACCCGTGAGGACGACTAAGGTGCCTCCCGTTTAGCTGAAGCAGAGGCCAAAGCAGTGTGTTGGGGACAGTACCTCGCCCCTCAACTACCAGGACCCTCCTTTCCAGCGACACGGGTCTCCACGCACGGCAAACACGTGGGCAGTTTTCTCGCCACTCGAAAACTAGAAACAAGGTCTGTTCCAGCCTCTCGTGACGAGCCCCAAACTCCGTAGAGAGAAACCACAAGGGAGAAGGGAAGGGAAAAAGATCCAGCCAAGAGGAGAGGAGACGGAAAAGAGGATAGATCACTGGGGCTCCAGGATCGTGACACCCGTCTCACCAAGAAGATGATCCCCTGAAGGGCTAGGGTACCTCGGGATTGCCACACCCGTACTCACAAAAGTGACCCTAGGAATTTTAGGGAATTATAACTAAGTTAAATCATCTTAGAAAACAGCATCGCAATGCAGTCTCCTAATAACACTCACTGTTGCCAGAATTTACTAATTAAATCATACATTATTATCCTACCCCATACATCACTTTTTTTTATACATACTTTAACAAAAAGATTGTGGGGTTTGGCAATATGGTACAGTAAGACATCATGTAATTATTGGATACCATTTAAACTCATATTTAAGTGAATATATGCTGTGCCAAGTTTACAAAGATGTGAATTTTTTTTTTTTGTTCTTTTAACTGACATAAAGTACTTTTAGTACTGAAAAGATGGGTGTTGATTTCAATGAATTTGCTTTTCAGATAATCTCAAAGCTTTGGCTTACTTTATTTTTTATACGCTAAAACAATACCTTAAAACTGTTCATTAACTAAATAAGGGAAACTCTGATTATGTAACCATATAAATATTACCTGTTAATTTCCAAGTTCCAAGTTTGGTGGAATTTTTGGTGCCAATTTCATGGTCAAAGAAAAATGCAAATACCCACACAGGAAAATTTTAACTAGATATTATTGTCTTTGTAGATCAAAAATTTCCACCTGTTCATCTCAGTTACCTTGAATAAAGTATCGTCCAATATCTAAAAGTTTTAGTTTTACAAAATCTTACATCAAGAAATTCAATTTATAAAAAGTTATGGCAACTATTTATGTGTTTATACATAAGATATGTTTTTAAAACAAGAATTTGCAAGATTAAAACAAAAAGAACTAAGAAATATTATAAGATGAAAAAAAAAAAAAAAAAAAAAAAAAAAAAAAAAAAAAAAAACATTTATCTTACCAGACATAAACATTGGGATAGACTCACAACTAGGAAAAGATTTCTTTAAAAATTGTTGGATCGGGAAAGATGTAGGAAAAGATACAACTTGGGAAGCCATAATGTCCTGGTGCATACAAGTATTTTGTTGTTGTTGGCAGGAGTGGAGACAATGACTGGGCGGTTGAAATGCAACTGGATTAATACTCTGCTGGGAATGTTCTTGACACGAATTTTGACACTTGATGCAAGCATACTGAGAAAGAGCATTCTGAATAACAGTGGGATTGTTGGAAGCACTCGAACAAGCAGAAGCAGGTCTCGTGAAACACTCGTTATGATTACGCTGAGATGAAGTCAGGCAATTTTGACAACCAGTTGTTTGTGGAACTTTATTGTCTCCTTTGGTTGATTCCACATTTGAAATATTAAGCATTTGATCAAGAGATAGACACTGTGATGTTTCAGGAGTTGACACTTTGCAGTTATCATCATCTGCATTTAGATCTTTTTCATTGCTGCTCTGTGATGAGGATTTTGTAAGAGTGTTATCTAAACCTGCTGCTGCACAACTCTCATTTAACTTAGGTATGTTATCACTTACATCTGATAAGCTTTGTTCATTTCTTTGTAAACTGTTTTTATATTCATCTACTCTAGGTATTTTGGTATAAGGCATACATTTTTCAAAAATTTTAGTTGCCATTCTAAGTGGACTAGATGCAGAAATGTCTCTTAACAATTCAGACACATCACTCGCTCGAATCATTTCTTGGGCATTGTCCTGCTTGTATACATGATTTGGAACAGTTTTTAATGCACTTGGCTTACTTTGATAGTCTGCAAAAACATATCATAAAATTATATATATGTCCATTTAGCACAAAGTTATTACACAGAATAAATCTATATAACGTGAATGATCACAGCATAGCATGCGAGCCATGTGTGGCTCTTATGTAAATAAAAGTATATGTATGAAAGATGGTAAAGTTACTTAATGTCCAAAAGAAAGTAAATTTACTTAATTTTTTACAAAGTTATTAGTAAATATAAACTGATAAATTATATTAGTAAACATAAACTGATGAATGTTCAAACAAAATTATTTCATTTCTTGTTAGTTAAGAAGCTTAATAATATTATTCAAAAAACATAAAAAATATTTTACTAATTCTATTAAACACTTTTTTAAAGAAAATCTTCAAAAGTTAGATTTGCTCATAAAGTATTTATGAACGGGCAGATGCTCAAGGATGCTTTATAGAAAGGGTCTGCCAAATTTCTCACTTATTAGCATGGCTAGAAATTAAATTAGAATACTCTGCGAGCAGAACTGAAAGTGCTTGTAATAGAACTGAAAACATAGGGAAGTGAAAAATGCATCAAAAATTTAATATCATACAGAATTTGATACAAGTTAAAAATAATTTAAGAACTGATTTGATATTCGAATTGATGAGAAATTTATGGTAGGTGAATGCTTTGAGAATTTAAACTAATCTGTTGAAAGCCACAGCTCAGAAAACGATGTTACTTTGTACAGACATTAGATTATTTTGAAGCAGAACGAACAATGTCTTTGCCGAGACTCGAACCCTGACCTCTCGACTCCGTGTCGAGTGTGCTATCAGTTACACTACGAAGGCTTGCAGAAAAGGAGGGACACACACACACACACAAAAAAAAAAAAAAAAAAAGCTTTATATACTTCCCCTTTTTAAAGGGGTGACTGGGGATTAGGGGGATCGAATTGCCAAATCCTGGTGGTAAAGAATCATCATCTACCACCTTTTAGTTCAGGCACCACTGTAGATTATTTGGTTATTTTAAACCTGGAAGATGTGAAAAATTAGCAATGCCCTCACCAGACTCGAACCTGGATCTCTCGAATATGCATTGTGTGAACTAACTATTACATGACAAAGGCATGCTGAAAGGAGGAAAATACCTTATAAACTTTAGAAAATTCTGAGAATACATAAAATTTGAGGACAATAGATATACAGCTTGCTTGCCATGGAATCAGCATGCAGGGGAATAACTGAATAATTTTGAGGTAGTAAAAACAATTCCAGTCACTGCAGTGTGGGATTTAAGAATTCGAAGTTTCATGAGCATTAAAAAGTTGCATTTGTAAGAAGGTATGGCGGAAGTACCAGAGTATCTAAAAACTGAAAAAGAATGCTTTTTACATAAAGTTGCATTTACAGAAAACAAAGACACAACAAAACTTTGCACTGTCTTCAACCCATCATTCCATGTTGAAGGCAAACTGTCCCTGAGTGATTGTTTGGAATCGGATGTTTCTTTCTATCTGAAACTTGTTCAGCTACTTTTATAATGATGTAAATATGGATTTGTGGCTTTTGGAAAATCTAGTTGTGGTTCTTGAACTTTCCTATATTCCAATATGTGACTGACATGAAGTTTGGCCACCTATTGTATAATCTGGAATTTATAAAAGGTTAATGAGATAGAAATATCTGCACCCTCATCTTAAGCAAATTAGTCTATCCTCTATAGAAAATAATTAGTATAATTATTTCAACAGACTGTTCTGCAACAAAGTATAAAAGAAGAAAATAGGAGCAATGAAAATCAACAACTTGCTGTTAACCATATGCGCATAATGCTTTGCATATTTCGAAGTCCAGTAATATATTAATCTCACTTTTAGCACAGAAATATTCTCTGGGAAATAAATTTATTCTCTCATTGTGTAAAATAATTAACTTCAAAGTGCCATGACAGATTTTCTCCAAAGGGGAGAGGGAATAAAATAAGGATATTGGAAATTAAACTGAATTTCCCCCCCCCCCACAGAACCTGATTGCCCTCAAAATCAATAGAATTTTATTAAAAACCTACATCAAAATAAGGTTGCCATTTCATCTAATTTAAGAATTTTTTCAAATGCCAGATAATTCTAGGACACTCAAATTTTTTAACGTTTCAGAAATTAAGTTACAATTATCTTACCCATGCATAAGGTTGCCAACTCTAGTGACTACCAACAAAAGTCACCACAAAATATATTTTTTGCAATTTCGTTTTTATAATTGCTATAAATTGTTAGACTACAATTTTAGAATTAATGTTCATGTGGATGAAGAATTTTTTAAAGCTTTGAAAACAAACAAAAAAGTTTTAGTTGAGTAATTTTGGTAATAATATGTCATTTGCAAGTCATTAAAACACAAAAGATGTATTATTAGAATAATCATTAAAATTCGTTCTGATTTTTGGCGGACTGTACATCACTTTATAGAATTATCGCCAGTTAAAAGTAGTTTGAATAATTACCCAGAATAATCAGTTGGTCTGCTTAGAGAATGAGAGATAGGTGAGATTAAGGGATTCTTAATTTATGAATAAAGGAATATTTGGCATTTTTCTGAACTCATAAAAGGACAAGGACAGCGAAACAGATCACAAGACAGTCTTTTCCAAAAGAGAACAGGTAGCAACCCTACCCATATATTAACTAAATTTTAAAGGTACAATCTAAAATAAACTTAGCTCATTACAATAGCACTGCATAATATTATGCAGAAAAATATAGAAATATAATAAGATAAAAATATGGAAATCAGTTTTGGCATTTTTTATAATATTAATAGCTCTTGCATTCACTTCTAATAACATCTTACAAGGATGTAATCTTTTTCTTTTTTCTCATAAGTTGTTAAAAAATGGCCATGTAACATTCAAAATGAATAAATCATTAAAATCCAAAAATGATAAAATCTTCACGGTGAAATTTAGAACAATTTAGTTTTAAATTATGAAGTAAAACACCAATACAGCATGAAGAAAATGAATACTTTAAATTTATTTACATCCCATTCACAGCAAAAAATATATTTTAAATCATATAAGAAATAGTTACCTGACATTTCAGGTAAAGAAGCATCAGAAGTTTCAGAAAATGCGAGAGATTCGTGATCTACAGAATGTTGTGGAGTTGCAACAGGAATCCCAAAAGAAGGCTGGAAATATTAATATAGAAGAAAAACAAACAATAAAAATGATAAATAATGGTTAAACACATATTACAAAGCAAAATAAATTTTTCTTTAAAAAATCTGCAGAACAAAATGAACTGAAAAGAATTATAAATTACTCCAAGAAATACGCCATGTCTATGAAAGTATTAATGTGAACTTTTTTTCAAAGAATTTGATCACAGCCATATATTGTATTTAATCACATATATGTATTTACTCATAAATTTTGCTAACTATCAATATTCATCAGAAGTCTATCAACATATGAAAAGGAAAACATACTTTAGCAATTTGAAATACAAATTTTAATTATTAAATAAGGATTATGTGATACATTAAACAAATAAAATAATTTTTTTTTTCCCTTCAAAATTTTTCTGTAATTGTTTTGCACTATTCTTTTCCCCCAAGTGCACAGTGATCTGTTTTTGCTTTAAAAAAATGTCAGAAAGTTATGGATGTCAACATGGCCCCCCCTTAGAAATTTTGTGTCAAAATTCTGCATTCTTGACAAAATTTTATAGCAGTTTCTTGCATCGATGGCAAATTTCACAAGCTTGCATTTTAAAATTAAGTTTTATAAAAGCATTAGAACTTGGAATACAACAAAAAGAATGCACAAGAACATGTTTTCCTGCAGAATGGTTTGAGAATGGCACCTGAAGAGCAACTGCCAGAGTTTGGATCATTCCAAAATTTGGGGACTTCTACTAAGTGATTCCGCTATACTTCTATGTAATGCCGCCACTATGTAAGTACTTGCTGATTTTACTAATTATTTTAATGAATGAAAATATAGTTTTGGATTGGGAGGAAAAATGTACATATGTAAATCACCATTATTCTATGCACAACAAAAATTTAAAAAAAATGAAGAAATTAAATCCAATATCAATTGAACTGAGTTCTAGGATGCAATTATCTTGCAAGTTCAGAATGTAACTCAAAAAGTAAACTTACTCTTTCCCTATTGGAATCCTCTGACAGACAACCAAGTTTCTCCGAACGTGCACTAATAAGTGTACCAATCGAGATGTGCCTATCTGCATTACGTTTATGACTGTAATCAAGTTCTGCAAACCAGCTCGGTGGGCTTATTCTACTCTGCATTGAAGTCACTGACCAAGAACTGAAATTACCTACTTTTGATTCGTCTGCTGGCTAAAGGGAAGGGGAACAAGACTCTAATTATTACAAAAATAAAAACTACATTACAAAACTTAAAAGACACATATACACAGAGGAAAAAAGAAATTAAGCACATTACTATGAAAACTAAAAAAAAAAAAAAAAAATATCCGGCATTAAAACATGGAAAACATTTTTTGAAAAGCACAAAAATGGCTTTTCCATTAAAGCTATTTCCATATTTCCTTGCCTTCAACAGTATGGTTTGGCTTCTTTACAGCTGGTAATTGCCTTTATAATCACTACTTGCACAACCACAATTTTCATCTAATTAAAGTTGCTGTTTTTAACACCAGAGGTATTATTAGATTCATTGCCACAAAATGTTTTGCCAAGACTATTTTTAAAGAAATAAATATATCAAATACAAAAGTAAGTAAATAATTAAAAAATTTGAAAGATTTTAAATTTTAACTGTCATCCAAAAGGACACTTAAATTTTAATATAGTTTATTAGCAGAGATTACTAATAGAGATGGCCCTGGTGGAATAATGAAATATTTTATGGAATACTAGATGAATATGCAATTAAACCAACATGGAAACATTATGAAACTTGTGTGTACTTGAAAAATGAAGAAATAGGTAATGTAATTCTATAAAAATATTGAATGCTTTTAATCAGACATGTTATGAATTAAATGTACTTTTATTTAAATCAATCAGATCAAAAAGCAAAAAACTAATATTCTTTAAGAATTGCTTTTAAACTGCTTAGTTTTTTTACCAAACTAGGTTGTAATTAAAATTAGACAAATTAATCTTGTCAGATTAATATATGTATTATATATGTCAGATACATTTTGCCAAGTGGCAACAATCTCAAATAAAAAGTGAAACAATGCAAAATCTTGTTCAAGATTAATAGTCTTTTTTGGCTATAAATGTATGGCAAAACAAAAGGATGTGTGCCACCTGATGTTATGAACTCTTATTATTTTTAAAGAAACAATATATTGAATATAAAAATATATGGCAACACTTTAATGGGAATTCTACAGATATGCTGTTTTTAATATTTTTAAATTTTGCTGTTGAATTTTATGTGACATAAGTATGAAGAAAATTATGTTTAATAGATAAAGTTAAAAAGACAAAAAATTCGGAAAAAAAAAAAAAAAAAGTTGCCCAGTTGATCATACTAATGTTCAGTTTCCTTAGTAAGTTACCTTAATAAGAAAATGAACATCAATATGATGAGATGAGAGAATATATAAATAAAAATAAAACAAATAAAGGCAACATTTAAAACTGTATTGGGAATTCTGATTTGCCTATTGAATAGCATGAGAAAGTGACAGTTTGTAAATAAAATTAAAATGAAAAGGGTTATAAGGTATTTCTCCTGCCTTCCTAGCATGCCTTCATGGTGTGGTGATCTGCACGCTGGGTGCGTATTCTAGAGGTCCACGGTTCGATTTCTGGTGAAGGCGTTTGCTCATTTTTCATCTGCTTCCAATTAACCTAATGTCTCTACAGGGTTTTGTTAGCAGGAGTGTGTCAGAATGTAGACTTGCAAATGGGAGCTCAGTGAGAGCACAAAAAACCTTAATGAACCTTATGGTGCGATGTTAAAATCCGAATCCTTTCAGATTTTTTTAAAGCAACTGGTTTTACTGTTTGGAATTTGCCATAGTAGAGAAAATCTGATGGGTAGAAACTCTATTTTCTCTTCATTGGAGTGGATATAAATCTTCCAATTTGTAAACTGCCAGATTTTTACAGCATTTTACAGTAAATTATTCTTATTTTGTTGATCCAGATATATCCAGTCAGTTGAGAGATTGTGATATAAAGTTAAATAGCACAAAAAAGTAATAAAAGATTGTTTGCCAAAATTTACACTCATTTAGTTGAATTCAAGTGGCACTGTATGCATTTCAAAGGCACTGTTCTCTGTTATACTACACATCATTTTTAATATCATGCCCCTGTTTAGTCTTATATATATATATATTTAAAGTACAATGTTTATTAATTACTGTAATTTCTTAGTTTAGTTTTGTGCATCTCATTTAGTTATTTAAGACGTAATAAATTTACCTAATTTTTCTGTATTTGTTTTTACTTCATCTCCTCCCTCTTTTACTTATTCAGAGCATCATATTTAAAAGAAAATATCCATTTCATCCGCAACTGAATGCCATTTAATGATGTTTTCACTTGACATCTGTATGCAATGACAATAAAGGACTCTTTTTCCCCAAATGAATTATAAAACTGATTTAAAATGGATTCAGAAAAGTTTTTTTTTTCATGGTGTCTGCCCGTACATATGCATATATCTCACATAACTCAAAAACGAGTAGCCTCAGAACGTTGAAATTTCATATATAGGACTGCTATAACATGTAGTTGTGCATTTCCTTTTTTGGTTGCAATTGGTTACACCAAAAGTATATATATCTACTCTGTTCTCTGTTATTCACCTCGGCGAGCTCAGTTTTTTTTTTTTATTATTATTCTCATATGTTGGTAAACTATGCATTTTTTGCTTTAAAAATGATTGAATTATGTTGTTTTTATGCCATTAGTTAATCTGCATGGAACAGCTGTAGAATTATCAACAATTTAAAAGTAAGTGTGGCTAAGCCTAATTTCTTTTTTTTTTTTTTTACCATAACAGCCATATTTGTTTACATTTGAAACTTAGCAGAATAGTGAATTAAGTCAGTTTCTTCAAATTCACTGTTTTTTTGCCGAGTGGGACCTTAGTAAGTAAACTTCTAGTTTTGTGCACCGAAAAATCTGCCTTCTTGTCCACTGGCCGAATTACTTGTTTTTGCATAGAAACTGTAATTTTGATTGCGAATGTTTTGTAAAAATTGTTTTAACTGTATTCGGTGTTTTATATTTTTCTATATTTTTCAATTTTTATAAAACGTATTAATAACTTTCATCTGAACATTACACTTGCTTCAATACTCTTGCCATTCCCGGAAGCATTGGGAAAATACACATTTTATTATCTGTCATACATTAGCTGTTGTGTTGTTTCACATAATTTGAATTATCTGAAAACTCTGATCTCGCAAAACCATTTAGATAAGGGAGAATAGAGAGGTCAGAGGATAAGCAATACGACAAATAAGAGAACTGTGGCATGACAAGGATAAGTTTCTGATTAAATAATACTAAAGTTCTTCATTCAAACACACTTTCAGTAAAATATGGTATGTAAAAAGATCAAAGTTTCCCTGGATAATGTCTGCTCCTGTACTAGATTATACATTTCTTCTACACATAGTAAGTATATGCATGTCTAGAGATACCAGACTCCGAGAAGGGTTATCAGTAATTCTTAACGTAATTATAAGTGTGATTCTTGAGCATTTCCCAGATTGGATGGAAGGGTTTAAACAACATAAACTAGATATTACACCCCATAAAAGGAACATTACTTACAATTTTGTGTAAAAAATAAATAAATAATGAAAAGTAAAGATTTTCCTCTGTTACAATGCTTGGTTTTATAAAGACGGCTTTGTTGTATGTATGCGGCAACCAACTCTTCACGGTTAAAATTATTCAGCAACATACAAAGTCGTGTAAAAATTATTGTATTTTCTACATAAAAAGTGCATTTAATGCTACGCACGACATGATTAAAGGCCCGTTTCCACTACTGCGTATGCGTTTCTCCAATCAGCGAGCGAACTCACTTTGATTGACATCTGCAATCCGGTCGGTGTGCGGTGACGGATGACATACGGATGGAGTTCAACAATGTTCAACTTCTATCCGTATGTCTGCGGTTGCGTTGGGGTCACGTGGTGAAAAAGGAGCAATCAGGTGCAGTGACTAAAAATTAATGGCGGCAGAAGTAGCGATGAACGCTCGCTAATAGGGAAAGAGTGTTTTGCTAAAAAATCCACTGTATTTCTGAATTAACATTATAGCGAGAAATCTGCGTACTGAGAAAGACAGCAATCAACTGAATTTAGTTTAAGAAAAAGAAAAATAAGATAACTTGCAACTACAGTACTAGTTCGTAGAGAGCAGTGATTACTGTCAAGAAAATCAGCGTACAAAAAATATAATTCCAAGTCCATGAAACAGTCCATGAAACATTTGTTCCTGACAATTATTTCCTAGTTCTGTATACATCATTTAGCTCTTAATGAAAATGAACGTCCGACTATATCAACTGCTATAGCAAATCAGATTATAGGATTAAAAGATTTGCTGTTTTTTTCGTTTTGAAACAGGTAAAAACTAAAAACGTTAATTTATAAATTAAATACGATAGCCTTTTAAATACTTCTACTGCATTGAAGAAGTATGTTAAATTTGTATTTCCCTTTATAAATATATCTTTTTGGATAACATATATTTGTAAGCACATGAAATATATTTTTAGCAGCCCGTTTAACTTCAATCTGAACGCCACTTTAAAAGATAATGATTTTTCCAAAAATGTACTAGAAGCTGAAAACAAACTCTGGTGAATTTTTCAGACAATAGCAAAGTGAAATAGGACCAAAAAACTTAAGTTTTAAGAATTGATTTACTTGATGATGTATATAACCCAAAATATGCATGCGACTTACGTGTAATCCCTAGCTTAGTGGTAAAGCTGATGGTACGATGTCCACTTTTTGGAGTCGTGAGTTCGAATCCCATACGCTTTTTGCACCATGTCTGCAACTTTTTTACTTTTTATTCCAATTTGATCTATATTCGTGTTTTATAATTTATTTCTATTATTATAGCATTAAATATATTGTTTTATTTATGCTCTTATTTATTTAAATTTTTTCCCACAAAAAAGTTTGAAAATTATATAATACTAATTTAAAGATATCCTGTACATATATATTTAAATTTAACAAACATTCTCTATTCGTAAAAGCAAATTTAAAGTTAATTAAATTTAAATGAAATTTAATGCAAACAAAGAAATGATTAATTATTGCTGTGCAAGTATCAAAATCCATGAATAAATATATAATTCCAAAAATTTATTAATCCTTAAAAAATTTATAAAAATGCATAAGTGAATAATGGGATAGATTATTAATCCTAAAAAAATTATAAAAATGCATAAGTGAATAATAGGATAGATTATTAATCCTAAAAAAATTATAAAAATGCGTAAGTGAATAATAGGATAAATAAATTTTTGGAATTATATATTTATTCATGGATTTTAATACTTGCACTTGATTTACATATGCTCTCAGAATTTAAATGATATTGTATAATAATAATAGCAATAATTAATCCTTTATTTGTTTGCATTAAATTTCATTTAAATTTAATTAACTTTTAATTTTTACGAATAGAAAATGTTTGTTAAATTCAAATTTCATTCCTTGCAGCAATGGCGCAAGAGAATTATTTAAATTTAATTTATTTTGAAACCCTGCAGATATATATATATATATATTTGTTTCACTTTTATGTGAATGTATATACATGTGCTCAGACTTTGGGATGTTTACGACTCTAAACTTTCATTCCAATTAACATGAGACAGTATTAATGCCCTAAAATTTTTTTAACAAAAAAATTACTATAATAATTGCTTTTAAATTCAGTCCTCTCCTGCAGAAGCGCAGGAATTAATTAATTAAATATTTCCATTTTCTTTACCTAATGTGTGTATATATAAAGAGAAAAATTTTATTTTTATAACTTCTTGTATAAAAAGAGATATGAATTAAAAATGTTTAAATTAAAAAATAATATTTTATGGATTATGTATAAAATAAACTGCCCATAGTGCATTTTAAAACAAACGAGATTTCTAATAAATTATCCAGCTATGACCCTGAAGTCAGCGGTATACAAGCATAGCAAATTTTGCTTAAATATTGTGAACCTTTTCTTACAGTTGCTCTGTACTTTTAAAGTACCAACTATTTTTTAATCCCTTTAACTTTTTTATTTTATGTTATTTATTTGTTTACTTTTTCACTAACAGTACATTTTAGTTTTAATAATATATATATTATTTCATAATATTTAAGGCTTCTAGAAACACAAAAATTTTTTTTTTAATTTAGTTCAGCTTCTATGGAATTCGTGATGTTCATAATATGCATTATAACCTTACTTATCTAAAATTCCATATCAAATCCAAAACAAACAATACTCGCTTAAGCGGGAAAAATTCAGATGTTCAGCGTCGTAACTTGCGAACTGCTTGCGCCAAAATATTACAGTGACACCTAGCGGCGGAAAATGAAAATATTTTACGCATACGCAGCAGTGGAAACGCTTGTACGGATGCCGTAGGCGTGTCTTCAATTGACGCAACGCGTTCGTACGCAGTAGTGGAAACGAGCCTTTAGACTTTAAGAGGGCCTAAGCACTTAAAAAATTATGGTGCCCTTCACATATTTGTGCCAGCTTTCTCTTAATTCTCTCTCTCGATTTCGGTTTATCTATACCATGCATTCCACGCTAAAACCAGCAAAGGGAAATTTGTTGGTGCTCTCTTTCCTGAATATCTAAGGACCTTTTTGTGGTGGTCCTTTTCCTTCATACCTAAACACATGATTATATTACTTAGTGGTTAATCCAAACCTGGTGCAACTTCACTCAACTGGAGTACATATAGACCTCCAGCAGTTCAGAGAAGCCCTCTGGGAGGTCCACAAGAAAAACATGTATTTTGAGGGTCCATACATTATATGAACTAGATGTTTCATAAAAAAATATGATTAATAAAATAATTTAATAATAAAAATAAAATAATGTCACAGAAAATTCTAGAAATTCATGGTTAGAAGACATTCATATTTTCTGGAACCTTCTTTAGTTAACAGGGAAAACAAATTTCTATCCATACAAAATTCTCAAAAATGAAATCCTTCTTTAACCTTCCAGCACACGCACTATGCGCAAAATTTACGACAAATTCGGTTTTTAATGCACACTTTTCGCATATCACATCTGAGATGTCCGAATGTCATTTCTAATCCTCCTTTCAACCCTTCCCTTCATCATGGAATGTGCCAAAAGGAAGTCATATGATATTTTTGTTTATGTATGCTTTTACTTCACCTTCAATTTTCTGAAAAGAGTGCAAAAAATTTTTCCAGCTCGTAATGTGAAATTTCACCAAACTCCCAAATCACGTGTGTCGATAACCAATTCTACTATTCTAATGACCATTCAGTAACATGGAATGCGTGACGAAATCAGTGCTCGTAAATATACAATGAAACTTCAATTTCATTAGTCAACTTCTTTCTTCTACCTTCCGGCCGCGCCTATATTCTTTGTTGCGGAGAAGTCGGGCGAAAATGTCTCGGTGTTTCGAGTAGAAAAAAATATTATTTGTTGTTTCGATGGGGTGCTATGCATATTTTAAGCTAAACCTTTGTTAAAAATTCAATACGTGAAAATACGCCTGGCTAGTTTTTTAAGCGTATTTCCAATTTTCAATGCGTGAAATACGCTCTCAGAAGCGTTAAAAATATCTCTGGTAGGGGCTACATTTAATAGCCTTAGGAATAAATTTGTATATGCCATTTGAAATAGTATATGGACTTTTTTCACTGTTTCTGCAAGTAAAATATATTTAAAGTTTTATGAATTAAAAATTCACAAAATTTGAAATTTGCATTTTTGATATTATGTTAGAATTGCTTAATAATCTACAAATAAATGTATCATTTAGGAATTCTTTAATTATTAGTTTTGGGTAGGCAACAAATAAGTATTTATTTCAAAATATTACGTTTAGTGTATCAGGTCTACACTTGATTTGATACTTCCATATAATACTGAAAAATCCTTTGAATCAGTGCCCTGCTTTGAAATACTAACGAATCTAAGCTCTATAATAGTGTTACAAATCTCTTATTAAATTTTTGGGGATTCTCCCTCCTAAATTCTAAAATATTCTAGTTAGTTGAATGCGAGTTAATCAGGCATTTACTGTATCATATACATGCATTTGATAGTTCGAACAAGCAACATTCTAAAGCCTCTCTAACTGTATAAGAGTTTACACAGCACATAAAACTTTGAACTGATATATTGATTAATAATATAGTTGTGATATAGGCATATCCATTGGAATCGGTATGATACATTGATTACGACATTAGCACAGTCGTAGCCTTTTGCTCATTGCAAGGTCAATTATGGAATTAGAATTCGACTTTTTCCACAACAATTTTTTTCTCATTTGCAATAATGTAACACAGGTAATAACTGCCAAAAAGATAAGATATTGGTAATAACTGCCAAAAATCCATAGCAATTACTATTTTTAAATGCCCTCTCACAACCAAATCGAAGTATTGCAAGTTTTATACAAGTAACATGAAACTAAATTTAAATATTATAAGTTTTATACAAGTAATATGACTTTCATATGACAAGTAATATGATTTCAGTACAGGTATATATATATATAAATGTATAATAAAACAAACAAAATGCAAATATAATTTAAGACATGAAATTGAAAAGAGTTTTAACATTAATTTGAATTTTCCCCCTTTGCTCGAAAAGTGCCTTCTTACTGTCTGATAAATTTCAAAATATATGACTTATTTTATTTTCTCTTTCGCTAATGTATATAAAGACAGAGGAATTCAGAATGTCATGAAAATGTCTGTTAAAGAAAAACATATAAATTGTATTAGTGTGTATTAAAAAGTCTAAATATTATTTGTGTCCTTTATTTTATTCAAATAGTTACCTGACATTACTTGATTAAAAAATCAAGTAATGTCAGGTAACTATTTGAATGAAGTCTGTAAAAATTCAAGGTAATTTATTCAATAATTATTAATTATTGAACTTAATAGTTGAACACTGACTATAGTGCAGATTTTTCTTTAGGAATAATAAAACAACACAGTTGATAGAACACATGGCATAAAATGAATCTTATTTTAAAGACGTGAATGAACAAGAATATAATTTTGATTTATTAAAAGAATTTTTGCTATTAAATTACCTCAAACATGTGTTCCTTGTGAAATATTTCTTCATCCTTTTTCAACATTTCTTTTGCTTCTTCTACAGAATAATAATAAAAAAAAAAGCTTGAAATCATGTTCCATTACTTTTAAAAGAAAACATTTCTAAACAAAAAAATTCTTAAAAGAGAACAAATAACAAACCAGAAGTAAAAAAATCTTCTTCAGAAATACCACCTTCTTTTGCAACACAGTCTTGTAGTTCATTCATGAGCAAGTCAGAATAAAAGGCTAAGTCTGGAGAAACACAGGTTTCTGGTGGCAGATCTGTAGAACCATGATTCTCTGGTGATGGGAAATCAGATTCTAAAGACTGAACTAAATGATCTAGGGATAAAAAAAAAATACAATGTGGCTATCATACGACCTGCCAATTTCATGTATTTAATAGCAACAGGCTTTAAATAAAGTATCACATCTGACTAATCATTTGGAAACAAGATCTAATGACTTTTTCCAGCAAATAGACATAAATATTATACAAAATTGTGGATTATGTTTTATTAAGTGTTATTGGCCATGCATTAAAACTGGTTTTCCTTAATTTACACCAACAATCAAATGTTTGACTCTTTATTTATTTATTGATCTTTTTATTAAAAAGTATACATCATCAGGCAGTCGAATAACACATAATTGAAATGGCTTTCAACTAAATTTAAGTGTTTATAATATATTTAAACTAAATACTTTGAAGCGAATACCATCATTTAATTTCCTTCTGTGTTATTTCTAAAGAATTAAGACATCCCTTTTGGGCAATTGCTAAAATCTGAACCCTTTCAGAGGTTTTTTTTTTTTTTTTTTTTTGTTTTTTTTAAACTTTGTTTCTGTACAATACAAATGGCCAAAATAACTTTTCTGCACAGAACAAATTTCCTATCTGAGCAAATTCACTATGCTCACAGAAAAGCCTGACATCTCACCAAGCTTTATACAGTCTTGTATAGTCATACAGTTTTGTAGTCTAAAAAACTGTATGACCATACAGTTTTGTAGTCTAAAAATTAAAATTTTTATAGTATCTGAATGATATCTATTGTTACAAAATGTAAAGGCGCGGTGAGATGGCTTCCCCCGCAAAGCAGTTTTAGGGTTGCCATAAAATGGCAAGGGAAGGCAGGGTTGCTACATTTGGAGATAAATCGCCCATTTGGCAACATTTGGTGACAAAATTGGCGATATACCATGGACGGTTGGAGAACCTTCTGGAACGAATTCTTACCGGTTTCGTCCAGAATATCCCGAACACAAGCCAAAAGCTATATAAACCGTGCTGGTCTGCAGTCAGAAAGTGTGCTTCATTGAGAGGAAGTGTGTCTCTCATCAAGCGTGAGTGTGTCACGTCTAGCGAGTCAATCGAGTTGACAGCCGGACAGCGAGTGCCGAGTGGGTCGTCGAGTGCACCGAAAGAGTCTCGTAGAGTATCGCGGTTAGTGCATCGTCGAGAGAGCGTGTTGAGCTCCGGAAACGACTGAACCGAGAGTCGAGAGTGTGCTCTGTGTGTCGTCGAGTGCATCGCGAGTTGTAGCGTGGAGAGTCTCGGGAGTACGCGGAGTTCCGAGAACGACCAAGCAGAGTCGGGAGCTGTACTCCGGAAAACAGAGTCGGAAGCTGTACTCTGGTGCTTTGCAGTGAAGCTATCTCCACTGTTGTTGCCTGACAGTGTGAAGGCTGTGTCGCTGATTGTTCCAGCGTGTTTATGGTAGATCTCCGACGACTGTAAAAGTAAGTGTTATTGGAGCTGTCCTGATTAATATTGACTAATAAAGTGTGTTTCGATACTTCATCAAGTAGTGTCGTCATTATTCACCCCAAATCTATGAACCCCGTACGAAGGTTAAGTGAAGGAAGAAAATAACGTAATAAGCGGTGTCAGAAGAATTAGAAATAACGTAACAATATATTTTAATGAAAGTTTCCGGCCACTGCAAATATTGTCTGTGCAAACAGTTTGTGCTGGCATGTTTAATCATATTTTGTCAAACGATGTTTGGCATTTGAAAGAAAGACACTTGCTTTAGAACACTGTGTTGTGAAACTGATTAAAAAAATATTGTTATCATTAAGTACGAGGTGTCTGAAATGGAACTATCACACTACCAGATTAGAACCATCATTTACATTCAGTTCTATTGCAAAAAGTCAGCTTACAGAATGTCACAAAATCAAGCTTTAGGTACTAATATTGTATCATATGACGCTGTGAAGGTTTGGTACAGAAAGTTCAAAAACAAGGATTATAACATTTAAGAAGCAGAGTGCTCTGGCAAGCCTTCTAGCATTGATGAGGCCCACCTGCAAAAACTTGTGGAAGATCAGTATGCAACCACTCCAGAGCTTGCTAAGGAGTTAAATGTTAATGCCAGGTCCATTAGTCAAGCTTATGCATTGCATAAACATGACGTACAAGTTCAGTAGTTGGGGCAGATAAAGATAGATGTGTTCAGTCTGCACTAATCTGCTCAAATATCAATGCAAGGACACAATTCTGGATCGGATCGTCACTTGTGATGAAAAGTGGATTTACTTTAATAACACAGGCTGAAAAGAGGGTTGGTCTGAGCCCGGTGAGCCCGTCAGCAGTGTCGAAAAATGAAATTTTACTAATAAGAAGCTCATGCTTTGTATTTGGTGGGATGGCTGTGGTGTTATCCACAAAGAGTATCCGGAGAAAGTAAAACTTTCCACAGTAAGGTAAAGGGAGATGCTAGTCTGTGTTGACGCTGCTATCAAGGAAAAACATCAAACTGAGTTCAGCTGCAAAATGGAAATGTTCCATCAAGATAATGCAAGACTACATGTATCTGCATTCAATGGCTGGACTCTGTACGAATCTGAATGGGGTCTTTTGCCACACCCACCAGATTTCCCTGACATCGCTTCTTTAAATTTCTACCTTTTTTTCACACCTGCAACTATAACTTCCTGGTGCTATCTTCCATTCTGCACAGGAAGTCTGAAATGAGGTTGATCTGGTTTTGGACTCGTGGCCACCAAGTTTGTGGGCCAAAGGCTTACAAAAACTACCAAAACGTTGGCAGAAAAATCATAGATTTGGATGGTGATCCACACTACTGTACTGTTTTTTTTTTTTTTTTTTTTCCTTTTAACTTTATGAAGCACATTTTTCGGCAGAAAACTTTCATTACAATGAAATGATAATGATACTTGCTCTAAAATTAAATTTGAGAAAGATAATGAGTCTGCATTTCATAAACCCAGAAATCTCAGATTTGGGGGGGGGGGAAATCCTGATTTCCAGCCATTTCTGGACCACAGTTCTGATACATACATAAAACAAATACAAGGTTCATTTACGTCCTCACATTATAAATAAAATTGAAAATGTGATACCTGAGAGCATACTTATGAACAATTTGAAATTTTTACCGTTCTCTTTATGTTTTTGCAGAATATTACACAGAGAAGCTGATAGATTATCTGTATTTTTAACAAAGCATGATCCACTCAATATTTCATCTCTTGATAGTTCATTCTTGAAAATATCTAAATATTTCTCTTGAAGAAAATCACTGCTAATTGATAATAGATCTTTACTGGAAACACTAAATGCTTCAGATCCAAATATATTTGACGAAACACCGAAAGATGAAGATCGAGCAGATATCTGTTTTTCAGAGAATTCCACAGATAAATTCTGAAAGGAATATATATATATATATATATATATATATAAATCATTAACATACATGTACATCAAATAATTTTCAAGGTAAACAAGTAAGCCAAGAAACTAAATAAAATGTAAAATGCTAAATACTAACAAAGAGCTCCCATTTCTTCTTCTTCAAAAAAAATTCTTTATGTTCATCAAAACAACTAGCCGAATAAAACTATCAAGAAAACTTTTTTTATAACACAAGCATAAATTTGAAAACTGGAAAATCTTAAAAATTTCCAGTAATTATAACATATACAGCATCAGATGCTAACTGAAATATCTACTTAAATATTCAAATTTTAAGGGTTTAACATCAGACTGTGGGAATAATCAAGACCTATTGATGCAAGTTATAAGAATTTATCAAACTAGTTTTATTTGTAAGTTTTTCATATCAAAATAAATGATATACTTTATATTCCTGCATATAAGGCACACTTTTAATTTAAAAAAAAAAATAGGAGCAAAATTTATGGGCGCGCATTATATATGCTGAATATAAAAATTATTAAAAATAAGAAAAAATTAGATTTTTACATGCATCAAAATGTTGCTTATTTAAAAGAAATGACACACCTGATGAAATTAAACATTTTCATTATCGGATAACATGAGGAGTTCATTCATGTTCGTCTTTCGCTTTATCTTCCAGGTGTATCATCAAATTTTGTTTCATTTCCATTATACTTGTTATTTTGATCCATAAATAAATAAGCATTATCCGTTGCATCTTTTATCAAGACCAAACATTCTTGTTGTAGCACGATTTTTATTTTCTTTCGTAAAATGAATGGCTTTGTATTTGAAACCAGCACTGTGTTTGTTTCTTTTCGCTGGAGTCATATTTACTACTAAAAGGGGCACTAGATCAACTGTACTGCAACTGAAGCAAATGCAATTTACTAAGGCTTCAATTTTTACTTCCTTGTACGAAGTAAAAAGGAAGTATTGTAATCGCAAAAAGCTTCAGGCAGCATATTTCAACAAAAATATCCACTTTGACCGCTTTCGAATGCAATTTAACGATGTCTTTGCGTGATATATGTACGTAAGGACTGAATAAAAGACTCTTTTCCTCCTAAAAAACTGCTTTAAAATGAATTCTGAAGAGAATTTTTCGTGGCATCTGTACGACGTACGTACGTATCTCGCATAACTCAAAAACGAGTAGCCTCAGAACATTGAAATTTTGTATATAAGACTACTATAACATGTAGATGTCCACTTCGTATTTTGGTTTCAATCAACTGCACCAAACGCATATAAATATATTTATATATATATCCACTCTGTTACCTGGCTCAGTGATCTCAGTGTCATTACTCTTATATGTTTGTAAATTGTACATTTTTTGCTTTAAAAATGATTCAATTATGTTGTTTTTATCTTCCGGTTAAGCGTTTCATGCCTTTAGTAAATCTCTACGCTATATTTTTAGAATTATCAACAATTTTAAAATTGTTTAAGTGCAGCTAAGCCTGATTTGATGGCAGCCATTGCTCTTGTTTACATTTGAAACAGCTGAGTAGTGGATTTGTTGCCAATCTAAAGAAACTTAGCTTCGCAACAACAAAGATAACACCTTCATTTATTATTTAAACCACGCTTAATCCTTTCTGGAATTTTTTCGAGGAAATAAGCGTTTAAGATTTACTTCGTAATTTTTAATATAGATATTTTGAGTTTTTATGTATTTTTGCCTTGTCGCGAAGTGAAAACTGAATTAATTGAATGAGAAATACTCAATCGTCTGTGAAAAACTGTTTCTTTTTTGTTTTGTTTGCTTAATTTCTTTTATACATAGTTCTAGCTTTATTATAGTATTTGAATAGAACATGTGGCAACGATTAGATAATTCTCTAAATGATATAAATTTTGTGCATTCTGAGTTATAATATGAACGAAATATAATACTGTTAAGTAAATCTAGCACCAGAGTGTCGCAAGGGTAAACAAAGTCAATTTGAAAGAATGCATTTATTCTATTGTGGTTTATGCGCTGTCGGCGAAGTAGGTTCAATTCAATCTAATAAGTTTAAATAAAATGCAAGAAAAAATGCGTATAATTTAATATTCCATACAAGGAAGTCATGTGGTGTACACATTAGATTTTTTACTTCAAAATCTCGGATTCAAATGACTACAGAAAGAGAAAACATCCAACTCCTCATTCCACAAATTCATTCATTTGAAAGTACTCTACAGTAGCATTCTTTTAGCCTGCATTAAATACAGTCCACCAACTATACCAAAATATTTACTCTCTCAAGCATTTAACCCACACACATATTGTTCCCTTTATCGCTTGTCAATGTTTACCATTGTTCGAAAGGCTAGGACAAATGCTCGAATAAGTGACTTCGACTACTATAATAAGACTACAGCACATATATCTTTTAGGTTTCTTCGTGGTGAATTGGGTGTGCATTATACGGCGAATATACCTAAAAATTAAAAAATGCAGCTTGAAATTATAGATGTGCGTTATAAACCGGAAAATATGGTACTTTAAAAGATTTACGTGTACTTATTTTAATTAATGAATAATAAATTTATTATTTAAATATCATGACCTATCAATAACATAAAAGATGAGAAAATTTTAATAGATTCATAACAGATGTCTGGAATATTATATTCACAGGTTCATTGGTGAAAAAAGTTATAGTAGTGTTTTTCAACCTTTTTTTCAAGTGGGACCCATTTTCATGAAATAAAACCTTCTGTGGAACACCTTACACTTATCTTTCCAAAAGAAATTTTTTTAGCATATGCTACTAACAGTATATTTTAAAAACAGATTTAATTAAACTTCATCTAATTTTAGATTGGCGTTAATACACAAATTTATATTTATTTTTAATAATTCAAGGTGATTAAAATTTGGATAATCTTACTTTTATTAACTAAAAATTAAATTAATGTTAATTTTCACACTAATGAGATGTAAATTCTTGCATAGCTGTTCTAAGTTTGGATGTATGCTGGTAAGAAGCACCACAGTTGAAGCGCTTTAAATCCCTCTTTTGTTGTTATAACTAGAGAGAAGTCTGCTGACAAATGGTAACAAATTTCACAAAATATTAGTTTTTTTGGGTAAAAAGCTACAGACAATAACCATGTATAATTTCCAAACAGTGAGATTTTTAAGATATAGTGTGGTATGAACAGTTAATTTGAATTTTATCTATTTATTTTACCTTCTTTTTTTTTTTTTTTTTTTTTTTTTTTTTTTTTTTTTTAAATCTAGAAAAATCACAAGAGGAGGTTCCAAGGACCACAGAGTGAGGAGTGAGGAACACAGGCATGAACATGACCACAAACATGTATGCAATTTAGATCAATTGGTCTAAATTATTGTAAATTAACATTTAGGGATTCGTGTTGCTCCTCCCCATTTACTTTGCACAAATAATTCAAAGAATAGAGTCGATGTCATTTAAGCCGATATACCAGTTATAGACATCATCATTTGTGTTTAACTATTTGATTACATTGTGTTTAATTTTGTACATTTATTTATTCTGTTAGTAAAAAGAATGTTCTCAAATTTTAATTTTGTTTGAGAAAGGGAAGCTTCTTATTTGCTATGTACATTCAATTTTATGGTAAAATGTAATGGATGATTGTTATTGTAGTGTACTAAACATTATTTAATTATCAGCACATTATGATTATTGCACACTTTTTATCGCATTACATAACAAATTATAATAATTATACTGCAATGAATAATTATTACTAGAAAATAAAAATTAGCAAAGAATATAGTTCCAGGATTTTTAGTGGTTTTATTTTTAAAAATATACATATTGTTCTTATAAAATTTGCATATAATTATGTTATTTATGTAAAATTTATACACTGTTCACATTATATAAATTATAAAATTTGAATTATATATATATTCATTATATATAAAGTACATAAATTACATTTTTTAAAAAATCTTCTACGAATCTTGGCATTTATTTCTGTGAATATTAACGAATAATAAAATTGGTAAATGCTTATAGATATAAGGAAAGCATGTCATGTAGTAAGGAAGAAATTATACAAAATAAATATAAGGAAAAAATAAACAGAAATTGAATACATTTTTTAAATCAACAATATTTTTGTTTGTGTTTCAGGAAGATGTTCAACCATTCGAAACACATAGGTATAAGTTTTATAAGGTATAAATTTTGTAATTTAAGAGTCATCTGAGAGAAATATCCCCAAATAAAAGTTATCGAACTAACACCAATTTTCCTCTTAGGAAACAGGCTTTAGTCAAATATATGATTTGCTACAAAAAAGCAAGAAATAAACAAGTTGAATATCTTTATGCAATGTGATTTAAGAATTATGTAATTTTATGCCAAATATTTAAATAATTACATGAATGCATAACGCACAGGCATCACATTTATTAAAACCAAACTTTTGCACAGTTAGAATCTGTAAATTTGCTTCTGAAGTATTATTTATATGTTTAAAATCAATAATAATAATAATACAGAAAATAATATAATGCCAATTCTAATAAATCCTTTTTTTCCCCAAAACATCTGTTCCTATTCTTAGTCTAATGTAATCTTTAAGTTATTTATGTGCATTTATTTATGATTATATCTGCATATTATACAGAAAAATGTAAGGTGGGTGATGAACAAAACCATTCTTAAGTACAGTTTGACTTGTATTCTGCACAGAACCTTTTCTTTTTTTTGGCAACATTTGGTGACCAAGTTTGGTGCCAAAAATTAAGACTTGAAAACTATTACATTTTTTGCGGCATTTCATTTTTGATAAGAGAATTGCAATTAACCAATCAGCTTGTCATTTTTATTATCAACACATATTTCACAAAAAAAATTATTCAGCATCAAAGGAACATCTGGAATTTGTTAAGTGTAATTAAGCACAAATTTAAATTGAATGGGAGGAAAATATTGCACCAATTACAAATAATTATTACCTGTTCATAACGCATTTTTTCAGTGCTACATTCTAAATTTTGACTGCCTGAAGAAAAATTTTGGGATACAGAGTCAGCTTTAAATGAATTCGGGGCCAAGAATGAAGATACTTTAACAAGTTGTTGTGATGTTTCCAAACTATTATCTTCTTTATTCAGATTTTTAGACGGCATAAGTTGTTTAAGTATGGATTCATATGCTGGCACAAAATTCTGAAAAACAAAACAGAAATGTTAAATCACTATGTCATAAAAAAGCAAATGCAAGCAATATATTTCTACCGAAATTCAAAGCTTACTTCAAAAACAGATTCACGTGAATCACTTTTTGACTTCTGGTTATCATCAAATTTAATATTAGACCTGAAAAACAAATAAGATGCATCTCATTACTTATATATATTTTTTTGAAATAAACATCTTTATTGAAACAGACTCTTAAATAATATTTAGAATTTTTAGGGGTGGGGTGGGGAAAGATATTTTAATGCATTAGAATTGCAGCCTGATTTACTCCAGCAGTTAACTACATTCTCTCATATTAACTACTTTTTACATCTAACATGTATGTACCAGTTCCAAGCAACTAAAAATCAGACTTTAAATAAATTTAGAAAAAAAAAAAAAAAATGTAAAGTTAATATTACACAGAAAACTGATATATCTATTTGGTGGGGGAAAAATACTTATAAAAACTGAAAATTATGTTAAAATTAATTTTAAAATATTTAAAGTACCTTCAAATTCCTTCTGCTCCCATTGAAATGTAATTCAGATACTACACTTTATAATATTTATCATCTTTATTTATTGCCAATTCACACTTATATTCATTCTAGTCTTGATACAATTGCTTATACCCTAGGGTCTGACACAAAATTTTCAGTAAAGGGTATATTCACATGTTAATATAAGTCTTTCAAGTAACATAAATGCAAATTTATTGCTAGATAATAACACAGCCTGCTTTTGACATACTTATAAAGTATGCAGCAAACAAATTATTGAGGGAATTTAGATCTTTTAGATTAGATTAAAAGACATTTTAGATCATCCTGTTTAAATTTTAGAGTCAGGATATTCAAATATAGCCAGAATGAAAAAAAAAAAAGAAAAAAAAAATTTAAAACCGACTGGAGAGGAAATAAAGTATTACTGAAACTGAGAGGAAAAAAAGCATTTAATTTAAATGATTCTTCCCCCAACTGTAGTTTTAATGTGTTATTGTTATTTTAATGATGTTTTTATATTCGTTAAGACTCATTTTCAGATTATCCAACCATAAAATCAAAATTTTTTTATACAAACAAATTTTAATTTTACCCAGATATTAATAAACTGCCAAATGTGGAGATGCACAAGAAAATTTATATCTGAAAAAGGAAAGATATTGTTTTTGATGCAATAAACAGGACATATTCAATCTGCAAACAGAATGCCTATTAACAGCATGATTAAAAAACTAATTTGGAGTTAAATCCTCAAAATGTTGCAATTTTCAGCACTTTTAAAAAAATTTGGAAAATTCATCAATAAAATCAGTTTTGCATACACGACTGTAAAATAAGAACAAATGTTTGTAAAAATTATAAAAAATTCATATAATTATGGCAGATATGCTAATATTTCTATTCAGCACGTAAAACAAGAAGTTTTTGTAAATATTACATGAAAAATTCATGTAATTATGACAGATATACCAATATTCCTTCAGCAATAATTCAGTTTCCTTCACATTTATTTTAGATGAAGAAATTTCTGCAAGATTAGATTGAAAAAGCATTTTCTAGAGAGTATGAAACATTAAAATGCATTGTTAAAGTAATAAATTAACAAATATTTATTCTGCTATGGAAATTCTACTTAAAGTCATGTTAATTATATATACATATATATATAAATTATTATATATACATTTCTTAAATTATATTTAAATAATTTAAGAAAATAAATAAATAAAAAACTTACAATTCAGAATTCTGCTGAAATTCAACCTTTGTTTCATTTTGAACAACGTTTCTTTTATCAGTGACTAAAGTCTGCTCATCTTCCAAATGAGTATCTGCACGAATTGCATCTAGAGCTGCAAAAAGAACAAATTTCAAATGCAGTGTAATTACTTTTAAAAAATGTCTTTATACTTTTAAATGGATAAAACTTTAAATAAAATTTACATTCTAATAATTAAACACAGCTTCAGGAACAAATTCAACTTTTAAACAAAACTGCATTCTAAGGTAAAAAATGGAATTTTTTAAAATGGCGTTTTGCCAATTCGTGCTTATATTTTAGACTTGATACAACAATAACAACAAATATATCCTAGGGTCTGACACAAAATTTTCAGTAAAGGGTATATTCACATGTTAATATAAGTCTTTCAAGTAATATAAATGCAAATTTATTATTAGATAATAACACAGCCTGCTTTTGAAATACTTATAAAATATGCAGGAAACAAATTATTGAGGGAATTTTAGATCTTTTAGATTAGATTAAAAGACATTTTAGATTTGTGGCACACATATTTAGCAGTATAAATTGAAAGCTCAAGGATGGAACTTGTTATTGTTTAACCGTTGCAGATGATTAAAATAACTTCACATCTATCATTGTAACTGAAGAAAAGTATGAGCCTTTAGAAGCCTTTCACAAAGCCTTCGTAAGTGCGAAGATAAATAAGAAGAAAAGTACAAAGAATTCAAAGTGAAAATGATGGTGAATTTTTAGCTACAAAAATAAAATAATGTTTTATAGAAAATGGAATGAATTTATGACATTTTACACTCAGATTAGCAATAGGAAAAGAACAGTTTATATTACAAAAAATAATTAAGATTGCTAGATTTGTTTGAAAAATACTAGAACTACATTTATTTTAAGATCACAACTAGCATAAGCCATACTTCCATTAGTGGGCAACCAGAGCTTGCTATGCCACGGAAACTGATATAAGGATTTTGTCTAAATATTATAAGTTTTTCATTTTATGCAAAAATGATGCAGAACAATGTCCGAGACATAAAATCATCAGAACATTGGCAATCCTGGATTTAAAAAATTTCCAGGTTTTAGATCATCAGATTAAATTTAGGATGATAACATGCAGACATGGCAACACTGGAGCTTCACTTATTATTGTTTGGGTCAGATAGAAAATGCTACTTCCCTACAACCACCCAAAATACAATTTTGGGCGGCATCAATCAATTATTGTCATTGGCCACAATGTCACTCCCTAAACCAGCAGATGTTTGAAAGTGACATGCAGGAATGTCAGTTACATTTACATCACGCCCGCTTTCCTTAGTTGAGTATTATACTCTCTTTTCCTTTACTTTGTAATGGGAGGGGATTTTTTTATAACACCCCCCAACTGGTAGCTTCAAATATTATAAAAAATGGATGCCCAGATTTTAACTCTTTCGCACCGAGAGAGGACCAAATCTGCTTTCCTCAAACATTGAGAAAGCCTGTGTGTATGAATTTCTCATGGAGTGATTTTCCATCCACCATAACAAGCATAATGCTACAGTCCTAACAATAACCGACTTAAGTAAAGCAACAACCTCTTGCATTAATTGGACGCTTTCACCACTGTGTGCAGTTTCCCCTTGGGACAGGATTACAACTTTGGGCATCAACAGCTAAACATTGACAGTCAACAAAGGAAAAAGAAGGTGCATTAAAATAACATAACTACTTTTATTCACTTCAAAAGAATGATTGGCATGCCATTTAACAACTCCCAAAAGCAATGAGCAATGCACTACCATGATGGGGGAAAGGACCAGGTAGAAAATGATTCAGGCGTTCAAGTGACCTGCCGATGTCTGATTGGTTGTGAGTTTTGGGTGACTTCGATAGAAAAGATTTGAACCTCATACTGTATAAGCACTGACCCATCACAGCAAAGTAAACTCATAAGAAATCTTACTACCTATGATCCAACTCAGGAGAGTGTTGTAAAACGCCCACGTTCAATCCACAACAACCCACGGTGGTAGTGATGTACATAATGTAAATATTTTGTATTTTTTTCGTATCTTATTTACTCACTTTTTTGTCTAGTTTGTGTTTAGTGTTTTGCACCAAGGACTTTGTGATTTTTATAAATCATCTTGACAAAGTGAACTGTGCACCGTTTTTGTGTATAGCCAAGTTTGGTTTTTTTTTTTTTTTTTTTTTTTTTTTTTTTTTTTTTTTTTTAATGTGCTTTTCGTGTTCTTCAACGGACTTTGATTTTGCAAAGCAGTTGAACTGTGTAATTTAAATATTTACGAACGTGGAAATTACTTACTCTCTCAAGTTCAGTTAGAATAATCCCAGCAAAATTTAAAAAAAAAAAAATTACATGTATTTTAGATATCAGCTTTTTACGTCTCATCATCAGAACCGCTCTGCTTAAAGCAAGGATCAATCTGAATTTGACTTTATGTCATGTGACTTTACAATGTACTTGTTTCTCCAGCTCTATGCATGCTCACGTAGCTGCTAACTGTGTGTAAGACTTCAGCCGCACCTACTCATGTATTTACGAAGGCATTATTGCTTAAATGGACTAATTTCAGCATCTTTGTTTAAATGCTTGAACTTTCACGAAGGAATGATTTTCCTGACTTGCCACCAGTGTTTCTTAGTTTTTCGTCCCCAGGACGCGGCACACAAGACAGTGTGCCTTTCATTGAAAAAAAATAAATAAATAAATAAAAATAAAGTAAGAGCCCAAGAGCCAAGATATCTACTGGTGATTACTCTTTGTAGCAGAGGCCAGACTTTAAATTTACGATCCAGATCCAGCAAAGTAAACAACTAACACCCAACTGATAATTTTTACTGTGTCAGCTATGCATTCACACATGTGTAAATTAACCTTTCCTGTTTGGCTACAATTTAGACTCTATTCTAGAGGTGTGAGCAAAGCTAATGCTTTTATACCTAATGACTATGAAAATTGCAAAAGCTATCTTATCATGCGAATGCTCGCTTACCTACCTAAAATGATATAAAAGGGAAGTATAAGTTTGTATCAGATAAGAAAAATGCAAAAAGATTACACTGAAGGTCTAGAAGGGAATTATGATAGGAAAGTAGTATGAAAAGAAAGGCACACAGAATTTATACTCTCAAACTAGATGAAATTCAAGATGTAAAATTCAGTAAGTAGATATTAGAATTAGCTTTGCTGAAGAAAAACTATCTGAAATTCATCTAACCTGATGTATTAAATAAAAGAATTTATTATTTTTTATGGGGAAAAAATTAACGAGAAAGGAAGCAAAATGAAGATAATTAATCATATCAATATTGTAGATGTTATTTACAATAAAAACAGGTATCCACTAATGTAGCTAGATGTTATTTGCCTTTAACTGCTTGACCAAGCAATTAAAATGAAAATAACAATGGTGACATTCTGAATCTCATGCATCAAGATAAAGATAGTGTTTAAAATGTAGTTACTTGAAGTTATTGAGAAATCCTGAAATGACATTCTCATATGAGTTGAAAAGTTAAAAGAGAAATAAGCCACCAAGAAAACTGAAGGATTATAAATCTATAGTACTAATGAAGAACTGTTAAGAATATGTGATGGAAGTAATACATGCTGAAATCCAATTTTGGCTAAATGCAAACACTGAAAAATAATGTTCATTGAAGGCTAAGGAAGTTTTTTAAGCTAATTACCTACAGATAATAAAATTATTAAAAGCTTTGATATTCGCTAAAAATGGAAAACAAAATAATTTAGAAGAGAGAAATAAGACTTGCATTAATTGGATATCACTAAAGGAGGAAAAAAAAAAGATTATGGAAAAATAACACTTCTAACATTTCAGACATTGTTATTGAAAAAGAAAAAACAAAAGTTCGATGCAAACACTGCATATTTGAGTAAACATATGGAACAACCATCTAGTTTTATCAGAAAATACAATAAAGTGCATTTTATGAGCACATATATGGATTAATCCAATCGAGAAAATATGCACATATATATATGAAGAATTATGTAAATTCCTTAGAAAACTTCATAAGATTAAAGTTAGATGCATGATTTACATTTATACAGATTTGCTCCCGAACCTCAGTAGAGTAATATGTGTAAAGGATTTAACAGCCATTTGGAAATTCAAATTCTGCAATAGTACACTTGACTAATCCATTCATCTCAAAAGAAATAATTAAACCAAACAAATATTTGGAAACTGACATCAGACAAGAATACGGAAGCATTGAAAAATACACGTATACATTCATTTAGACCAAGAATAACTTTCTTATGCGTTCTGTAAATTAAACAAATGAAAGACAGAAGATGTGATTAAATACCAAAACTTGAATAAAAAGTAGTTTTTTGTATTCATAAACTAAAACTAAATACTGAACTGTTGAATAAAAAGTTGATTGCACCCCCCTGAAACTATGAAATTCCTTCCTGTCTGGGAACCCTGTATCAAGTGAAGACCTTGATGATGTTTCATCTTCACCAATATCAAATACAGAATTTTAAGAAGCATTAAATCAATAATATATTTAGCAATGACCAGAAGGCTAACTTTTTCTGTTTATAGCATGTCTTAGTGTAATTAAGATACTAGTGAAAAATATTAGAAAGCACAGAAGATGAAATTTAGACACATTAAAAAACATAAAATGCATCTCTATATCTAACACAATAGATAAGTGAAAATTTAATACAATCTGATGTACCGAAAGTTTTCCGCCAAAAATGTTCTTAATAAAGTTACGGGGGGGGGACATGAAAGCTGTAATTTAATGCGGGTAGTACTCACAACCCAAATCTATGACTTTCTACCAACATATTGATAGTTTTTCAATGCCTTCGGCCCAGAAACTTGGTAGCCACAAGTCCAAAAACAGATCAATCTCACTTCAGACGTCCTGCGCAGAACATAAGATAGTACCAGCAATGTGTAGCTGCAGGTGTGAAAGAAACAGAAGTCCGAAAGAGCGATATCAGAGCTATATGGTGGGTGTGACAAAAGAACTCATTCAAGTCTGTATGGAGTCCAGCCAGTAAATGCAGACACATGCGTTCTTGCATTATCTCACTGGAAC